AGACAGGCTGACATGTGAGACTATGTTCCAAAATTCATGTTTTGGGAGGTGGTTATACATTCCAAATGTAGATGGGGATCATTTGCTTCTACATTACGTCTTTTTCCACGAAGTTATCACAGACCCCCAAGGCGAAGTAGAGGAAATAGTTTTTGAGATTGGGGGTTACGAACTATCTTTCGGGAAGAAAGAATTTTGTCTTGTCAATGGCTTCCGCTTTGGAGATTATTTTCCTTCCTCCAGTTCCGGCACCGCCTTCCGTTCACGTGTGTTTCCTATGGTCGCGAGGAATGTCTCCATCAAATTAGACGATGTGAAGAATGTGTTTGAGCATTCACTTAATGAATTATCGGACGAGAATGTGGTCCGTGTATGTATTTTATATCGGTTATGGAAAGGGTTCAATGGGTGGTTGGCTAAACAGCATGTTATAGAGAAGTATTTCGCTTTGGTATCCGACGAATTCAACATGTATCATGTCGTTAATTTATAATTACAAATTAATTAAGGGTAATTAATTATCATTACTAATACTTTTTAGAAATTTAGTTGGGAATTTTTTATGTAGCAAATATCCATGGGGGAGGACAAATTGGGATCAATTGTACTAACAGCAAATTACTATATTCAATAAAGTTGACATGCATATACATCCAACTGAACCGAAAGAGAAAAACCTCAAAAAATGACTTACACCCTAAGCGGCTTTTTATACGCTTTTAAGGTAAGTAAATGATTAACAATTTATTTATTTTTTTGTTTGCTAACACTTTAATACATGATTTTTTAGATATGGATTCTTGAGACTTTTCTCATGAGCAGTTTGTTTGGTACCCGACAAGAGAATGTGATCCCTCGGGTTGTTGCATGGTTGAATGTGAGGCCTTTACAAAAGACTCAGTGCAACCAGTTTATAAAAATCAACGACGTATGGTTACTTATTTATTTTAAGATTTTATTTTATGTGTATAGTTTATGTTTATTTATAATTTTATCATTTTGTTAGTAGGATAATAGATTTGTACAGAAATTGGAGCCGACCAAATCTGAGAGTCGTGCTGAATGGTGGATGGCAAGCTCAACATTTATTGATTCCCCTGATTTTCCCGACACACAAGTTCACAAGGTACCTTCCCTAACACCATCACCCAAACGCTCCCTACCCATGAGCCTCGACAAAAGAAGGCACATATAGATGTTCCATCTCACCCGCTACCACCACCACCGTCGGTTGTTGAACCATCAACTGATAAGGACCGAATTGCTACTGTCTTGCAAAATGAGGTCTGTCAATTGCAAAACGAGCTCAATGAATTTCCGTGAGTATATGAGGTCACATGATAAGCTTTTAGTAGAGCATGACGTTACTTTATCCGTGCTTCTAAAACTTATCAATAAGACTCCCGAAGACGATTTTGGTACCTCGAACGGGGTGGAGGTACATTGTTAATTATTTCATTACCATACAGTTTTTATTTAACTTTATAGTCCTTATGTTTTTTCATCGTTTATAATTAAACACTATTGAACCATATAAACACTTATCATGCAAGATAATGGTACCACAAAGTACAATGACAATGAAATATGGGAGCATGATTATGGGTTAGACACACCCGAATAACTATTGAATCACGAACTTGAGCAGTCGTCTTCATATATTCAATCGTCGGATTTAAAAGAGATTCCACGAGAGCACCTCTTACGCGTTCTATGCGCCAAAAAGTTATGTCTATATGGTTTCACTCCAACAACCAACAGCGTTAGATAATTGTAACACTCTAAATTTTCTAACAAAATTTTCATTTTTAAAACCACATAAAACCTAATATCACATTTCTCAAAAACCCAAATGTATGAATTATTCAAAACACAAGACCACAAAATGTTTGATAATATCCCAGAATCCTCAAAAACATAATCTCTAACAGGTGTGTACAATCAAGTCGGTGCCTTCCCGCAATCCTAAGAGGTACCTGAAACACATATCACACAACACTGTAAGCACGAAGCTTAGTGAGTTCCCCAAAATACCACACACAAATAATTAGCCTCTCATGGCTATATCTCAATAAGGACCCTCTGGTCCATGTGTCTTAGTGAGGACCCTCCGGTCTCACAATTCAGGTTAGACCCTCCGGTCCTAACCAATAAAGCACAGAATAACATACATGATAAATCACAAAGACAAATGCATGATATCACATGACTCAGTATAAGCATATAAGACCCTCCGGTCACACAGTATTACCACTCAGGCAAGTATAGTGAGAAGACTCACCTCGTAAGTAAGCAAGTAGGTCTCGTACTCAATTATCGATCTAGACTCCGCCTACATATCATAATCATCTCTAATTAACACTTTATAATAACAACCCTAAAATGTTAGGCTACCCCTTTCTAACTCTCGGAAAGGGTGAAAGACCATTTTAGCCCTCCATGGTCTCAATAACTCATGCCTTGACCAAACCCTAAAAGTCAACGGAAGTCAACACTCGAGTCAACAGTCCATGTTGACCCAACTCGTCGAGTGCATCTATGCAACTCGTCAAGTTCCTTCGTTTTCTCTGAAGTATCGGGAAAATCCAATTCAACTCGTCGAGTTGTCTCACCAACTCGCCGAGTTGTAACGCGTCCAGACTATCGGGGGAAAACCCTAGACAACTCGTCGAGTTGGCTCATCAACTCGTCGATTCCCTTCAGTCCCTTTTCTCATTCAGACGTTTTTAAGTAGAACTAAGGCCTCAAATTTTAGATCTAGCCTCCCAAGGTTGAAGTATCACGTAAAGCTACAAGCTTTACGTCCATGCATGGCATCTAGGGCTCAAAATGCCAAAAACAATCTCTATAGAGCGTTTAATGCATGAAAGCTGGACAATAGCTTGATAAAGCTTGAATCTTTAGGCCCAAGGGACCTCATATTGTCCAAATCTGAAGTCCCAACTCCATGGCAAGATCAAACCACTTAGAGACCCAAAGAAAAGATGGAAATGGCCATAAACTCCTAATGAAGCGATCTAACCAAACAATGATCAAGGTGATAGCTTTTTACCTCCAAATAGCAACTAGCACTGAAAGAACACCGGATCCAAGGGCTTCTTCTCGTTCCAACCCTTTTGCTCGTCAATCTCCTTCCAAAAATGCACTAGAACATACAATCTTAACCTTTCTCTCTCTCTCTCTCTCAGATGAATACAGTTTGATTAGGGTTTCTCTTAGTCTGTCAAGATGATAAGGGAGGCGGAAATGAAGGCTTAAGGTCCTTTAAATAGGGCACAAACCTTGAAAATTAGGGGTTTCACACTCAGCTCCAACTCGTCGAGTTGGGGTTCTCCAACTCGTCGAGTAGACTCTAAAAAATCACGCGGCCATTAAATCCTCTACTAGGCGAGTTGGGGCCTCCAACTCGTCGAGTTGCTCTGACAACATGAATGTAAATTAATTAAATATTATACTTGGGAGTCGGGATGTTACAACAATCTTTCAGAACCTATCGTACATAGTATATATAAAGAACGAGATGGTTTGTTGTTGTTTACTCATCGATTTTTGACCGGTATTGCGACAATTAAATTTTAGACGCGCTTATATACGGATAATCACACATGCTGGTTGGAATGCAATGTAAGTTATATAATTATGTGCTCATTATGTACTACGCTTCTAATAACAATACTTACTTTACTGCAAATTTTTTGATTGACAACACATCAAGATATGGATCTCATTGTTAATAAAGTGTAGAGTGGATGACGCTTGGTGGACGGTTCTGCCTTCAGCTTTTAACAGTGATGCATTTGACTGAAGTGACATGGCTGATGGATATGTTTACCCAGCTTGGGCAGACTGTGATATAATATAATTGTGTTTGGATTACATTAACTAAGTAAGAGTAATTTATAATATAATGTTATTTGATGATTAATTATTTCTAACATTTTGTGTAGCTTTACATCCCAATCAATATACCTGCTTTTCACTGGTTTTTGGGTGCTTTGGATTTGAAGACATCCAAAATGAGTATATACGATAGTCATTGGAAGAGCGGCTACTATTCAGAAAATGAGGATCAGTTTATAAATATGAGAGCTAACATCCACAAACTACTACGGGGGTACCGAACCAACCGATGCAATCCCACATGAGAGTTTAAACATGACCCTCGAAAAGGCCCTAGATGTACCACAACAAATTGATAGTAGAGGGGATTATGGAGTCTTTTTGTGTTGGTTTCTAGAGATGTTGATCGCCGACAAATTGTATTTTATAAAGGGTAAAAGTTGTCCACAGGCTATGTCATATCATAAACGATTGGCATAATTTTTTTGGCATACAAGGACAAAGATCAGTTGAACATTGTAATGCTACTTTAAACAAACCCCTTACGTTTATGTATTTATTAGTTTTTTTGTTGAATTTTAAAATTACATTTGTATTTTAGATTTTATAAAAACAAAATTTATACAAAAAGAACAAAACACATTTTACAAAAAAAAAAATAATAATAATGAAAAAACTATTCTGGAATGAGTGTCCGAAATCCTACTCCGGTGTTCCGAATACCTATCTGAAATGATATATTCCGGACAAAATGGTTATTTTACAATATATATATATATATTATATATAATATAGATATATATATATAATATATATCGATAATATATATATATATATATATAATATATATATAAGGAGAGAGAGAGAGAGAGAGAGAAGGAGAGATAGGTTCAGGTGTTTAAAGTAATTTGGTGTTATTGTCTGCAAAATATAGAGACCAATCATTTTAAAACCTAGATAGGGCTAAAATTGTAATCTTAGCTTTTAATTAATTATGGTAATTAATTATTAAAATCATAAACCCTTTATTTTAGCCAAAATCGTTTACATTTACAGCTTTAAATCCCTAGACAGAAACCAAGGAACAAGGCATGTCGACAGAGCTTCTGTGATAGTTGGGAAATCACGACGAGGTGCAGAGGGAAGAAGCATCGGGACAGATGATTCAATGGATGATATTGGTGAGATTCCAATTGTAGGGCTTTTCTTCTAATTCGAACGGAGCTGGATCACTTAGGAGGTCTGTGCTCGCGTTAAAATCTGATTCGTTAAAACCTATATTTGATCAGATCAGAAAGCAAACAGATGATCACAAGTCGCTCGCTCTCGCTTATGCTGCCTATGCTCGGAAGCTCAAGCTCGAGAAGTCTAAGCTCGTTAGGGTTTTCGCTGATCTTTCATGTAGCTACACGGATCTCATCTCGAAACCTGCTTACAGAGCTTTGTTCGACTCTGATGCGGAATCAACAGACGAAGTGGCACTCCGGCAGTTCGAGAAGGAGGTGAAAGAGCGGATTAAGGTAACCAGACAAGTGATTGCCGAAGCCAAAGAGTCGTTTGACAACCAACTTAAGATTCAGAAGCTGAAAGATACAATTTTCGTAGTCAATGAGCAATTAACCAAGGCAAAGAAGCAAGGTGCGTTCTCTAGCTTGATTGCAGCGAAATCAATACCAAAGAGCTTGCATTGCGTTGCAATGAGGTTAATGGAAGAGCGAATTGCACACCCTGAGAAGTACTCAGATGAAGGCAAGCTACGTCCTGCAGAGTTCGACGATCCTAAGCTGTATCACTATGCGATATTTTCTGATAACGTTGTTGCTGCTTCTGTTGTGGTCAATTCTGCTGTTAAAAACACAAAAGAACTATGGAAGCATGTTTTCCATGTTATGACAGATAAAATGAATCTTGGAGCAATGCAGGTTATGTTCAAGATGAAAGAATACAACGGTGCTCATATTGAAATCAAAGCAGTGGAGGACTACACATTTCTGAACTCTTCATACATTCCAGTGCTAAAGCAGCTTGAATCTGAAAAATTGCAGAGGTTCTACTTCGAGAATAAGCTTGAGAATGCAACAAAGGACACAACCAGTATGAAGTTCAGGAACCCTAAGTATCTATCAATCTTGAATCATTTTAGGTTCTACCTACCTAAGATGTACCCCACCTTGCACAGGTTTTTGTTCTTGGATGATGATATAATTATTCAAAAAGATCTGACTGGACTTTGGAAGATAGACACGGATGGAAAGGTAAATGGAGCTGTTGAGACTTGTTTCGGGTCTTTTCATAGGTATTCACAATACATGAACTTCTCTCATCCTTTGATCAAGGAGAAGTTTAATCCCAAGGCTTGTGATTGGGCTTATGGGATGAACTTCTTTGATTTGGATGCTTGGAGGAGAGAAAAGTGCACTGAGGAGTACCACTATTGGTAAAATCTGGTAAGATTGTTATATGTTATCACTTAAGATCTATTTATTGGCTATTTATGTTTATTAAAGTGTTAATGGTGGTGTACTGTATTTTGCAGAATGAGAATAGGACATTGTGGAAATTGGGAACACTGCCACCAAGTTTAATCACATTTTACTCAACAACTAAACCATTAGAGAAATCATGGCATGTATTAGGGCTTGGGTATAATCCAAGCATAAGCATGGAGGACATAGAAAATGTTGCAGTTGTGTATTTCAATGGAAATATGAAACCATGGCTTGACATTGCTATGAACCAGTTTCGCCCACTTTGGACAAAATATGTAGACTATGATATGGAATTTGTCAAAGCTTGCAATTTTGGTCATTAAATCTACTACACCCTTTATCAATACTTACATTCACACGTTAGAGTTGATGATTCCATATGTTATGTAGTTTAGATTAATGTGGTTCTCAATTGTTTATAGTGTTCTCAGTTGAATCATGTTATGATTTAGAATAATTGTGGTTAGAGTTAGAGGTTCTTTATCAAGTATGTTTATGTAGATGATTAAATGGATGATATTGGTGAGATTCCAATTCTATTGAAATGGAATCACGTATTCCAATTCTGTTGGAATGGAATCACGAATTCCAATTCTGTTGGAATCACAGAAGTTGATGCTTGAAGAACGGACCACAAAATTGAAACGGACCACATTATTCTTTTAGAATGTATTAGTCGTTGTTAGATTTTGATGTTTTCTTTCTCGTTTTGAAAGTTTTTTTAGTTTTATTCTTTAACAATAAATGTAATTCTTAACAATTGTTACCCTTATTCTATAAGAAATAATGTATTTTTTGTTTTTATTCTTCAATTGATTGTTCAATAATTTGTTATTTTACAAGAAGTTCTTAAAGTCATGATCAAGAAATAGGTTCAAGAATATTTTTATTATTTATGGTTCAAGAATATTATATTTTTGAGTAAATAATTAAATAAATAAACATATTCTGTCAGAATGTCCGAATTAAAATAATTATAATTCGTAAAATCGGATTTTTAAAATTAATAGAATCTATGATCCCTTAAAATATGCAATTTTCCTTTATTAAATCTATATTAATTGACTAAAATACCCTTGTAATTAAATTAGATGATATTTTTAATTCAATAATATATATTAATCACTTACTTAAATTAAGTAAAATTGATTGGCTCACAGTTATGCATACAATAACACAATAATTACTTTGAATAGAATAACTTAGGCCTATATATATATATATATAATATATATATATATATATATATATATATATATATATATATTCTTCAAATAGTTCGTTATATGGGTTAGATTACTCAATTTCCCCATAATTTACTATATTTTTGTAAATGTACTTCAAGAAGAAAAAATCAAAGATATATGTTCAAAACATATATATATATATATATATATATATATATATATATATATATATATAATATATATATATTATAATATATAATAATTAAATATAGAAGAATGTGTTATTAAACTTAATATTTTAAAAAAAGTGATATTTAGTGGGAAATCAAGTGAGAATATAATGGTTATATTCTTGGGGAAAATGATGATGTCCAAAAAACGTACAAATCTTTGAAAAATATTATGCCTTCCAAAATCATCATATCTTAAAGACCCCTTCTCCTTTCCCCTTTTGTCCCGTGCCATCATAATCTGTAATCATCACATGATTAGACGTTTTGCTTCATTCAATCTCATACATTAAGTTTTGCTTCATTCCATCTCATACGATTTAATCGGGTTTATTCTCTTCCATTTATATGATTTAACAAATCAAATTTGTTTATTTACGGGTTCAATAAACGATCTATAGCATGGCAGTCCATTTAGAAAAAATATGTTTTTTTAAACATATGTCAATAATCAATTTAGGAGGATTTGATTTACTGAATAAATGATAGGATACAAGATATACAAATATATAAAAAATTTATATATCATTACTTGGATTATAACAGATTTGCTACAATACAGATAGTTCAATAACAACCCACCCAAGATAAAGGAGAATAGCAACCAATGACAAGTTTAGAACTTAAAACTATATGATTCATTATTTAAATGAAACTAATAAAAAATAAAAAATACTAGTTGCGGGTCCGGATTTGAGTCACGCCGTACAAGAAAAAAAAATTCAAAGTTCTTGCAATTGTATGAGACGAGGTTTTATATCTTGATTTATTTTCACAAAAAGGATCGTTTATATGCTAATGACAAAACACAATAAATAAATCAAATTGGTAATATTACACATAACCAATGTGTGAACCTCGCATACGACATACAGTCATACGGAATAATAATAACAATAGGAAAAAAAAACCCTACACACAATGACGCAGTGAACCTTTTATCTCTAATCGCTGAATTATAGGATGAAAAAAAATTGGCGCTGAGAAGGGAAGATTGTCGGAGACCAGAGCCACCATCAGCTATGGCGGGGGAGAGGCTGTCGGCAATGGCAACAAATGTCGATGATCGGCCATTTGTGAAGGCGTGAAGCAGGAATCAGAGTCTTGGAGAAGGAAATGACGTCTTCTAATTTACAAACGATTTTTTTTCTCTTATTTAAATTTAAGGTTAGTTTTTATTGGATTACACCTTAAATGAATTAGTTATGTGGGCTATGAAAATATAAAATTTGGGGTTTGCAAATCTTAAGTTATACATTTGTTTTAGCCAAAAGTATTAAGGCCGTTCAATTAAAATATTTAAAGTAGTTTATAATTTTATTTCTACGTAACTTGTTATAATAATAATAAAAATAGGTGGTTCAAGCGACCCACCTTTGAGACACATAGCCTCGCCCCTGATAGCAACTTAGATTTGAGTGTCAGAAACCACCGTGTGGCTAGAAGCTTAAGAAGATGGCCGCAAGTTGATTATCGTTAAGATGAATTGGACTTCAACGCACCCCGTCAAGTTCTCAAATAAAATGAATTTATTTCGATGTGATTTGTGCAAGCATGGAATATTCCATTAGTCGAGAAATAAGTTGTACCTAGATTACCAATCCACTAGGTTGGGGAACATATATACAAACACTAAGCTCATGAAGAAGGGATGGGGGAGCATATATACAAACACTAAGCTCACCAAGAAGGGATTGAAGCTGTTGTTGGATTAAGTGTCTAAGCCCATAACTATAATTGGTATGTACTTGAATTGATAGTGGCATGGTCATTTTGGGTTGCCTTCACACTTGCAACTAGACAAGATGATTAATTGAGGAAGATGAAGAATTTATTAATTTGATTAATAAATTAGAATAAATGATTTATTAATATGTTATGGAAATAATATATTAATTTGTAATCATATTATTAATTAATCTTTAATCAGAAATTAATTTGGAATTAATTTTGGGATTAAATGAATTAATTGAAAGTGCAGGGACTAAAAGTGCAAGTGTTCAATAGTTGAGCAAAAGAGTCCAGAACCTTCTTTGGGAAGGTGGTGGACGCAAATTGATATATATGTATAAGATTATTCTAGAGTTTCTAAAATATCTTATCATATATGGATAATCAAAGGAGATGGATGATTACCATATTTGAGATAATGATATTTTATTTAGATTAGGGTTATCTATAGCATCATTGGTACACTATATAAATAGTTCTAAGCCTAAGAATTTCGACCATTGTTTTGATGAATGAGGAAGCCGAAAATTTGATCTCCTCTCTCATATCATTCTCTTGCATTGTATTTTTATGAGCCATTAGAGGTGTTACACTTGTGACACTAAGTTCTCAAGCTTCATGATCTACAAGGGAATCATTGTTATTACATTATAACAATCAATGCATATAAGTATATAACCAAACCCTACTTTTATATAGATTTCAAAAATTGTAGTTGCTTCCTAGGATTTCTCCTTTTGTGTTCAAGTTTGCATGTTCAATTAGAGAAAACCTAGATCCAAAGCATTAGGGTTGCATGCACACATAGGAATTGTTGTTATGATCAAAAACTCATCAGTGGTATCAAAGCCTAGGATTAGTTTTCTGTTGAATATGATGCAATTGTGAATTGTTCAAAGGAGAAGAGAACAGAATCGTCATTCTATTCATCAAACTCGTCGAGTTGATCTTTGAACTCGACGAGTTGGCATGCAACTCGATGTGGTAATTGCCCAACTCGACGAGTTGCACTGTCAGATCCTAATTTTTCCGTTTTGATAATTGTCTCATGGATTGATTAGGATAATTACCTTAAATTCGTTTTAAATGTTTAAAATTGGATATTTTAATCAGTAGTTGTGTATCCTTATCATAAATTCATGATTGGGTGAAATTATTTTTGATAAAGATAAAATTAATTTGTTAATTAAATTTAACCTAGTATTTTGAAAAGTTTTAAAAAAACTTCCTTGGTTTTAAAAATTTAAAATTTAAATTAAATGGTTTAATTTTGAAATTTTGAAATTAAAGAACCCTAGTATTTTAAATGTTTAAAATACACCCTTATATATATTGTAAAATTAAAAGTCAATATTTATATATGTATAAGAAAAGTTAATCTTACCATTAGTAGGCCTCATTCACGAAGCTGTCCTATAAGGAGAGTTTGAGGAAGCAGCCTATAAAATGACCGCCAGTGGGTATCCACTCTTACCCACCGCTCTCTTGACTAGTGGAGGGTCGTTAGCTGAAGGGGTTTGATAGGACACTAAACTCTCATTAATAAGTATAATGACATATAAAGTAACTAAATGTTTTTATTAAATCCATTCTTAGTTACTTTAGGAAAAATGTGAATTTGATGTTAACCCATGAAATTGCACATTGCACCTTATTGGTCGTTAGTGGAGCGTGTGTGGTTCACTGGCACACTAATGTGGGACTAATATTGTTGGCAATGGGTGTCTCGTAAATTATCATTGATTAATGGAGTGTGTGTGGTTAACTGACACATTAATTAGATGATAAATGACATCGAGAATAC